CAGTAGCAACATTACAGTTATGAAGCAGCAACGAAAATAATTTTACAGTTGTGTCACAACATGAGGAACTGTATTTAAAGGGCCAGAAGGTTGAGAACCACTGATCTAGAGGTTAAGTTTAGTTCAAGCTGTTACTACAGTAAAAGCCTAAGGAGGCAGGTAGACGGGGCTGTCCCTTTAGCCAGGCAGTCCCTTAGCCCTCTCTTTCACAGAAATGTGTGTCAGAGTAATCATCCGTCACTCAGGGTCTGCTGGTCAGCCCCAGCAGGCTAGGGTGAGCGAGAGGTTAAGAGAATGGGGTGGGGTCTTCCACATACAAGGGACCAGACAAATTGTCTCAGGGGGTGAGGGAAACCCCGACCAATGAGAGAAGAGAGTGCTCTGAAGGGTCCCATCTAAAGAAAACATCAGGGACTGAGCTGATGTGTTCTCCATTCCTGGCTTTTGGTGAACAGATCATTGAATCCAGTTACCAAACATGAGAAAGAGCAGGGTTCCTGTACACACACACACACACACATGCACCTATGCCAATAATTGTAGGAATCTCTGTGGGGAGAAACCATCCTCTCTAGGAACCATCCAGAGAAACTGATTTTAAGGGCAGGATCAATGATGGAATGACTGTGTTCCTGGCCAATGGGGAAGAACTGCAGTGGAGCGTCGTTTTCAGGGTCCAATCATTGGCAAAGGGGGCGGGGTTTCCATGCAGGGGACAAAGCCAGGAAGAGCCCTGAAGACGGGAGTTGCAGCCAATGGAAAAGAGAGAGTTACATCTGTGGCAAACCCCAAGACATGTCATCTTGGGGATGGGGCGTCTTTGAAGGAGGACTGTAATCCATGGCACCGTTCCCTGGCCAATTGAGAAGAGAGCATGGCTCCCCCAATAAACCAATCATAGGAGCAGGCAGCTGTGCTAGGAAACGGAGTCAGGTGCCAAATCAAAGTGGCCGACTAGCTGGTGGATGGCCGAGTCCGCACAAACGTCGGAAGGTTGTGTGCCCTGTAGCCTCCAACTCTCTCCTTCATGGAAACATTCTCTCACCCCCTTTAATTTTCCCCTCCCTGAACCTCATCCTCATCTTGCAGACAGGGGTTTCCATAAAAACGACAGCAACTACTCAACACTTCTGATCCCTGCGCTGTGTGACCTGCAGGGAGAGTGTGGCCTTCTCTGAATCTTATTCCCACCTTATAGAGACGGGAATGACCTCTCTGAGTGCTAACCCTTTGGGGGTGATCCCACTGCGGTGCCTCCAGCCTCTACCAGGGGGAAAGGCGGGGGGGGGGGAAGGGGTTGCAGGTTGGCTAATTCAGAAGGGATTTCGATTGGCTGATTAGGAAGTCACTCACCTGGCATGAGTCAGCCCCACTGCTGTCTCCAGCACAGATCATGGCCTCCGTGACTTTCCCAGGGTAGGCGTCTTCACACCGCTTCTGGGACACGATTTTGACTTCTGCGCAGTTGAGGGCATCTGGAAAGTTCTCTGAGGGAGTACAGGTTGTAAGTTTCCAGAGAGAGCAACCCTTGCCCTCCATGCCTGCCTGGATCTAACCTTTCCTCTCTGCATCCACAGC